TTGAAAGAATGTACCACTTCCGTTATAATTTTTTGTTATTCAATATTTTGTAAATACGTCAGAACGAAATAAGATCATCAAAAATTTATTACATCCTCAATATGTTATGCTACTGCTAATACCTTCCCAGTGGGCACCCGACGTCAATCCGACGTCGGATTTACGTACGATTTTCATCAGCGATGTCAAAAGACCTATTCCGACGTTGTTCCGATGTCAGTAAAATGACGTCGGGCGATGTCTTTATCTCAACATCCCCTGACGTCGTTTCGATGTATTTTGACGTTGTTCCGACATCTTGTAAAAGACGTCCAAAAAACGTCGCAGTGCTGACATCGATCCAACGTCGATAAAAAGACGTCAAGCAACGTCATAATATTAACGTACTCCGATGTCTTTTGACGTCTTCCGACGTCAATCCAACGTCCTTAAAACGACGTCGGAACAACGTCGTAAGACATCGCTGATGAAGATTTAATCCAAACCCAACAATATGTGTGCAATTGCGCTCTTCAATAAATATGTGAACTAAGCGTGTTTTTTATTAATGGAAAGAAGTTTGAATAATGGTTGATTAAACATCATGAGGTTTTGTATGATGCACTAGCATAGTTTTTTAACTATTAACATTTTCAAGTATACATTTTTTATAATATATAACTATTCGTTTTAATATTTATATAATATTTAAACAAAATTATTTCTTATCAAAGAAATAATTCCCAAATAGCTACAAGTATAAAATACTAAATAAACACAATATATAATATGTCCCTGTGGTGTAGTGGTAAGCGCGTAAGAATTAACTTCTAATAGACCGAGGTTCGATTCCTGCCTGAGGCAACGTTTTTTAGTTTTCATAAACACGTTGGATTTACATCGGAATGCCGACGTCGCGCGATGTCAGTTTATCCGACGTCAAATAACATTTCCATTTCCAACGTAAACCCAACGTCGATCCGACGTCGAGATCCGACGTCGCTTGACGTTCGTTCGACGTTGAAATGCCCACTGGGTTAGGTTATATGAAATAATTCAAAAGCTGTTGTTATGCTATTTAAATTATGATAGTACTTGGTGAAGTTGCTTAAGATGATATGTTTTTAGACGCTCATGAGTTATTAAGAAAAGCGCGTTTTTTTAAAGATATTCTCCGGGGAGCTTTATTTTGGTATTTCAAGAGCGAAAAAAAATTTTTAAAAAATAGCATCGTTAACTTTTTTAGAAATAGGAAAGGTTTACTATTGTTTCTTTTTCATGGTTGAGGTAATTACTTTTTACTTAAGTATAGTCTTTAAAGATACAATTTTATACAACAAATCTTAAAAAATCTATAAAATCTATAAAATCTATAAAATCTATAAAATCTTTTTAAAATTTTATAAGTAATTAATTTATTTTATTCTCTTTTAAATTGTACTTTTAAATTTAAAGCTTCGTGTTTTAGATGTTAATATTGAAAATATAGATATTACTATGGTGTCTACCGTTAAAAGATATTTATGGGTAGTTTCATGCTTTCACATGCTTTTAATAATTGGAATAAAAGCCATGACAACATTTTTTTATAAATAAAATTTATCTATAGTATTGTTAATACTTTGGCTCTTTGAAAAAAAATATGTTTCTGGCTTTTCAATAAATATATAATAATTTGTCTTGCATTAATGAATTTTGGTTTAGGATATAATTGTGTTATTATATGTTTGTTTTTCTGTACTTAATATAGCATTTATCATTTGCATACATTTTTATTTAAGTTTAATTGTTTATAACTAATTTAGATTATTAGAAAATTCATGCTTATAGAGTTGTTATTTAATCTTAATCAAGTTGTTAAACCAAGGAAATTGTAGAGGTTTATTTATCAATTTATACTATAAATTATATAATAATATTGGAGGGAGTAAGTTAAAAAGCATTTTTAAATTTTTAAAAAGAAATAATACTTTTCAATATATATCTGTTTTTTTTTTGAGGTAGATTTAAAGTTTCAGGTTTTCAAAACTGTAGATCTTTTCAATGTCTAAATAGACATTAGGTATTTCAATGTCTAAGTAGACATTAAGTATATATAAAATCTTTTTAAAATTTAATAAGTAATTATTTGTTTATAACTTATTAAGATTTAAATTATTAGAAAATTCATATTTACAGAGTTGTTATTAATCATAATCGAGTTGTTGAACCAAAGAAATTGTAGAGGTTTATTTATCAAATATATACTATATACATTATATAAAAAAATTTTGGTTTTCATAAGTATTCATTAATAAAATGTATATATATATATATATATATATATATATATATATATATATATATATATATATATATATATATAATATATATATATATATATATATATATATGTATAAATGTATATATATATATATATATATATATATATATATATATATATATATATATATATATATATATATATATATATATATATATATATATATATATATATATATATATATATATATATATATAACTATATATATAACTATATATATATAACTATATATATAACTATATATATCCTTGGAGTTGCGGCAGCATAATAGTGTGTTAGGAAAAAAAAATTTATAAACCCGCGTTAATAACCTGTTTTCTATTGTACATAATGCATTAATAATTTTATTACGTGTTTTGTTCAATGTTTTTTCCCAACGCGTGAACTATGACGCTGTCGCAGTTTTTTTTTTTTTATTAGAAATATAATAAATTTTAACTTTTTTTAATAAGTTTTTGCTAATGTGGTTGCAGGTTTTTTTTAACTTCTATCAAATAAACTTATGAAACCTGTATTACTTTTGATGATGGCAAATTAATTTTATTTTGCCTTTGTTTGGTTTCTTTATATATATTTGTTTTGAGAATTTTTTTTTTAATTTTTCGAGTATGATTTTTTTAGTTATTAAGTTTTTTTATTTTATTGTTAACTTTAGATTAGTAAAAAAAAAAGTTATATTTTGTTTGTTTGATTGTTATATTTTGAAAAAGTTCCTTATGCTGACAACTATATGCTTCTTTTATGAACGTTTCAACAAGAAAAAAACCAAAAAAAAATGTCTTGCCTCCTTAAATAATGATTTTCAACAAATCAAATTTAAGTAATGAAGTGGCCAGCCAATGGCCACTTAGATGTTGTTATCTCTTTTTTAAGAATCAATCAGTTTTTTGTTTCTAACTGACATGTAAGCAAGGCTCTATGTTTGAAACTTAAAGATCATACAGAGTGTTTTAGCTGAACTATCAGCAAATTTACTTAAATATATATATATATATATATATATATATATATATATATATATATATATATATATATATATATATATATATATATATATATAGAGAGAGAGAGAGAGAGAGAGAGAGAGAGAGAGAGAGAGAGAGAGAGAGAGAGTATTAAATAGTACTAGCTGTCTAAATGATATTTAGAATACCCGCTTAAAATGTCTTAATAAATTACCATCGGTTTAAAAAATTTAAAGAAAACATGAGATGACTTAAATATGTATAAGTCTATTTCACTCCAAACATTTTAATAATTTCACTTTATTTCAATAAGTTTTAAAAAGAAGCAAAATATAAAAATCATTGTTTTGAGTTAACGATTTATGTTTAATACTTTATAACTTCTACAAAACTAAAGAACAAAAAAAAAAGGGGGAAGGGTTTGATTTTTTTTTTCATAAGTTTCAATTAATTTTTTTTCAGGCCATCTGCTGCTTATTAGGTCTTTTGCCACCTAAATTTTGAAGGAAGTTAAAGTTGGCATTTAAAATCTTCTTTCTATAAGAAAGAAAGTTTTCTATCCAATGCATGATAAACGCACAAGCTAATCACTTACCACAAAAATAATCTACTTGTTATTTGAAAACTTTTTCCTACCATTTATTGACAAAAAAGAAATTTTAAACAACAAATTTTCTGGCAATATTGATAACCTTGACCCTATTGCCAATTATCTCAAAATTTCCACTAATTTAATTTAAGATATATTTGTTGAAATTAGTTTATAAGATATTGATAAAGATACTTTAAAAACTTTATCTAGTGATCAAACATATCTACACCACATAATAAAAGCTTTAATAAAATGGACGAACAAAAACCATATAAGATAACCAGGTAAAAAACTATTCTATATTTAAACATAAAAAAAATTATAAACATTAAGATGATATATATTTAATGGGTTCATTTATTTTAATAGATGCTTTTCATTAAACGCGCTTTGTAATAATACCAGTCCATGCAATACGTAGATGGATATATAAGTAAAAAAAATATTTAATTAAGTTAGAGTTTCTTATTTCAAAAGTTTTCGTGTATACACATAATGTCATTGTTATATGGTTTTTTTCAACTTTAATTGTTAGGGGTAACATTAAATGATGCAAAAACAAGCTTGGTTAATTGCAAATATATTGATTCAATTCTTTAGTTACATGATAATGTAACTAAAGAATTGAAATGATGTATAAACAAAAACAAGGCACTTTGAATAGTTTTTTTTAGTGTTTAAACTTTCCCTGAAATAATCAACTAAGTAAATTTTCCGTATATTTTCAACGCTAGTTTTTTAAGAAAAAAACTTTTGATTAAAAATAATTTTTTTTTTAACCATAATGAGAATTACAACAATGACCCGATTTGTATAAATTTATATTTGTGCGTTTTCTCTCTTTATTTAGTATCAGCATAGTTTATTATCACTATATTATCATACCTTATTTCTCATCAGCATAGTTTTTATTAATTTATTTATTAGTCTTTAACTAACGCGTTCCGTACTTACTATTTTGGAAATACACTCAAAAGGCGTTTAGTCTAATCATACTTAGTCTGCTTATGTTCTTTTAATACAAATTAATAAAAGATCATTTTACTTTATATTTATTACAATCATCTATTAACAACATTTAAACCCATAAAATAATTATGTAAATATAGTTGATTAAGGATAGACGAAATAATTAAAGTTATAAAAGTATTTATGATTTATTAGCAATAATAAGACGTATATTTGTTATAAATTACATACAACGTAAACATAAAAAGACACGTTTATCAAAACAAAAATTTTGTTGTTTTTATATTCACGAGTATTAAATTCGTAACAGATCGCAATTGCTTGGCTTTATTTACCAAAGACTTTTTCTAAAAGTATAACAAATAGTTTGTAAGATTCCAGCAAAAAAAATATTATCTCATATAAGCGATTATAAGCAACATAAAATAATAAAGAAACTCACTTAATTTTTTTTTGAAACTGCGAACTGAAAAAACAAAGAAATGAATATATATATATATATATATATATATATATATATATATATATATATATATATATATATATATTATATATATATATATATATATATATATATATATATATATATATATATATATATATATATATATATATATATATATATATATATATACATATATATATATATATATATATATGTATGCGGCACTGTATATATACATATAAAGTACTGTGGCTACTGGGTCTGAGGGCCACCCCCTAAAACCCGTCATTAGGGGCTTAAAATTTTCAAAACTTTTCCATTAGGTATTACTAAAGATGAAAAGAAAAAGCTCTTTATATTTGCAAAATTGCTTCTAAACATGTAAATAGAGTGTGTGTGTGGAGGAAACTAACCACGGCTCTTTAACGGCTTTTATAATAACAATATTATACAATAACAATAATATACAAAATAACATCATTCTACAAAAGTTTTATCAATAATAATTGTATTATTGTCATTAATTATATATATATATATATATATATATATATATATATATATATATATATATATATATATATATATATATATATATATATATATATATATATATATATATATATATATATATATATATATATATATATATATATATATATATATATATATATATAATTAATGACAATAATACAATTATTATTGATAAAACTTTAAAAGTTATCCTCCATAAAATTACCACAATAAGTCAACATATATTACTTTTCGGGTTTTATAGTATTTTGTAACCTTTTTTTAGTATTTGTCAATACTGAAAAGAAAGTTTACCTCCATCTTTGATTTTCTCTCCTAAACAAAATTGAAAACGTTATAAAAGTGATCGTTATATAATTATATAGCTGAATAAAAATACATAATACATTAACAATATTATACTGAGATTATAAAATAACAATAATATACAATAAAATACCATTCTACAAAAGTTTAATAAACAATAATTGTATAATTGTTAACACTGTTTATTATATATGTTTATACAATTCGTGGCTTTTGGGTCTGAGACCCCTTCCTTAAAACCCGTAACTAGGGCCCCAAAATCTTCCAAACTTATCTATTAGGTATTACTAAAGAAGAAAAAAAAGCTGTTTACATTTGCAAAAAAGCCCTTAAACTTGTGAATGGAGTGTGTGGAGGAGCCTAGCCACGACTCATATAATAATATTAACTAACATAATAATATTACCAATAACTGTATAAAAAAAATAATAATAAAAAAAGTATTCGTTGGCTATCATTTGCCGACTGCCAACTTGGCCGACTATTATGTCTAAGTTTGCCGACTAATTAAATTTTAGGATTATTAGCCGTCCCATTACTCCCTTTCCTCTATGGGACGGCCCTATATAATTTACATATATACACATAGATACAAATATTTTGAAGTACTTTAAATAGGTGTACCTAATATTAATAACGTCATAGTTATTTATAAAGTGGCTTCGGGACTTATTCTGACTTTAGGTATAAATTAATGCAATTTTAAAAACTTTAAAACTGTTAAATAAAACAGAAATATAAAACATTATTAAATACAACACAAATGTTGAATCTCCGATGGCTTTGTTTTCATACATATAATATATTATAGAATAAATATATAATATTAACTTTAAAAATATACATCCATTTGAAACTTTTCCGGCTTAAAACCAAATTAATTTTTTTTTTGTATTTACTTTTGAAAAACAATTTTGAGACTATTTATAAAAAAAACTTTAAAAATATTTAAAAATGTTTACGATAATATTCAGATTATTGTCAAAATAAAAAAGAATTAGTATACGTATTGAAGTCTTATAAATAATTCATACCTCCATCTTCAATTACTTTTCCTAGAGGTAAGTAAAATTTATATGTATAAATTTTATGCAATATATTATATATATATATATATATATATATATATATATATATATATATATATATATATATATATATATATATGTATATATGTATTATATATATATAATATATATATATATATATATATATATATATATATATATATATATATATATATATATATATATATATATACCAAAAATGAATACAAAATGAAAATAAATGAACAATGTTTATTAGTGATTTTGTTTTGGGTACTCTCTAGCTTTTTCGTTGAAAAATAAGAACAGCATATAAACCCATGGGTCAAAAAATGTATTGATAGTTTTATGTTGTTGCATCGTTACAAAATAATATTTGCTTTTTCTGTGAAAAAGTTTCGATCAAAAATTCTAGCGAACAATATTCTCTACTGATTTTGTTTTTGTTAGCATTTTATTAATTCTTTTTTTTTTAATAAAAAGTCTTTAAGTCCGAGATACAAAAATATAGTTTTGCATCCCTAAAATATATAATCCCGGCGTAAATCTTGCGAATAGCTAGTTTTATCGTGATTTTAAGCGTATTATTTAGTACCTTTCATTTTGTCTTCATTGGATATTAATGACAATAATTTAACCAATAGCATTGTCACTTTAGTACAATATGCTGAAGTTTTATAACGACATATAGATTTTATTATGATATTGCAATATTTTAGCTCTCGATATTACTACCTCGTTAGCTACATATTGCAGCATTGTAGTCAGCTACAACATAACGATATATCTGTAGCTAATCAATGGTTAAATATAGTAGGCTTGTCAATAACGATGCTACCACGATACATTAATGGCTAAAAATTGCAGGTATGTTGCTGTTTATAACATTACGGCACACCTAAGGTTAGTCATTGATTACATACTTTAGCTATTTAGCTGGCGATGTTGTTAAGATATTTCAATAGCGAAATATCACAGCTTTGAAGCTTGCTGAAACATATCTAAAAACCTACAAATATTCAATATAGCTGGCTAAAGAGATGTAGTGTGTAACCACGCCACAACTTTTTAGCTTGCTAAAATGTCAGTTTTCATAAAATTCGCCATTTTTTTAAATTTCTTTTTTTTTACATAAAATTGACCTTCAGAGTTAATTAGCTTCAGGTTTAATTAACACTTATCACTACACTCCAAAATCACTACACTCCGAAATATTTAAAACAGAAAAGAAAGCAAAAATACGTACACATTTCTACATCGTTTTAAATTAACATTTTTTAACAAAACTAGTTTTTCGTAGTTAATTGTGGCAGTTTAAAAAGTTAAATGTATACTTATTTGGATTACAGCCGTATTTTATAATGTGCAAAGAAAAAAAAAAAAAAAAAATTTCACAAGGGTATGGACTACGTACCTCTCTATATATGTGCATAAACATGCATACATATAGAGATGTTTTTTTTGTGTTTATATATTTATGTTTTAAAGGTGTCATTATTTAATAAAACATACCTGTATCTTTAACAAGACCCGTTACTAAAAGTAAAAAGTAGAAGTGCTTTTAATTTTTTCCAAATTTCAACAATAAATCAACATATATTACTTTTAGGGTTTTATAGTTTTTTATAATTTTTTAATATTTGTCAATACTTATAATAATGTTTACCTCCATCTTTAATTTTCTCTCCTAAAAAAATTGCGAAGGTTATAAATATGATCGTTATATAATTGTATAGCTGAATAAAAATACATAATGCAATAACAATATTATGCAAATATTATACAATAACAGTAATATACAATATAATACTACTCTACAAAAAATTAATAAACAATAACTGTATCAATTATATATATATATATATATATATATATATATATATATATATATATATATATATATATATATATATATATATATATATGCTACTTTTTGCAAAGCATCCTAAATAAAATTAAGCACAAACACAGCTGCTGCAATTTTTAAAATAGCAAAATTTATTTGTGGAAATCGAAATTGTAAATCAAAGTAAAATAAACGTAAGCTCTAATTTCTTAAAAAAAAAAATTTAACAAATGCATAACAGAATGCATAACTTTAATTAGTTGCAAGGGACATGTGATGATTCTGAAAAATGAAGAATGGGGCAAGGTGACTTTTTATATTACAAATGAAAATTTAAAAAACGTCAAAACAAAACTTTATTTTCTTTGTCTTTACTATTTAATTTTTTTGAAAATACGTGAAAACAAAACTGTATTTATCATTTGTATTTTAAAACAGTTGGTTTATTTTCAAATTTTGTTAACGTAATTTTATACGCATAAGTTTTGTTTCTTACGCTCAATAAAATACCTCGATTTCGCTTACTGCAAATAGATGATCTATTTTTTGAATTTTACAATTGTAATAAAAGCCACATGAAAATATGATAAGTTTGAAAATATGATAAAAATACTACAAATTTTTCTTGTTGCGAACTGAAAACCCAAGCAGACAATAAATCATTATGAAAAATGAAACATAGGGGAAAGACGCCTATGATGGTATACTTAACTTTGAAGCTTCATTTAACAATATCCTGAAGACCAAGAACAAAAGTTTTGATGCGGAGACGTTCTTTATCACGTGTAAAACAATAATAACCCTAGGGGTTTTCATGAGTTTAATTATTTTATTAGTTATTTTTATTTAAAAAAAAGCGCAAGTATGTCAACACAGCAACTACTGCTCCTATGATGGCATAAGGAAAGAATGGGGCTGGTTAGCATCAAGGGCATCTTTTCGATTTCATTTGACCTCAAAAATGCCAGAGATTACGCGTAATCATCCGTATTAACCTTTTTGTGCAACACAGCGGTAGTGTAAAATTTTGCGCATGCGCATATGAGATAATGTGTTCAATTTGTTTTTTGAACCAAATACTTTTTCGTGAAGCGACAACTGCTTTTTACTTCCTTAAGAATTATGTTAATTTTATGAAAAAAAGAGGTTTTCTCAACTCGTCAATATAGCAACACACCTAACTCGTACGTATGCCATCATAGGAAGAAGCCATCATTTTCATTTAAACAAACTATGTCTGCCTTGTTCAAAAGATAAAATTAAAATAAGTATTCTACTAAATGCACAAAGCTTAAAAATCAAATGCATGAAAGTTTCATTTTTGCACAATTAATAAAGAAATCGGATTCTTAAATATTCAAAGGGATTAAAAATACAACAGCACATCCCAAAATCGTATTTTTTTGATTATAAAAGCAATATTTGTGCATAAGAGACGTATTTTTTACAAAAACTAATGTAAAGTCAGTAAAAACATGTTGGTCTAATCACTTTTTCGCCATGACTAATATTTATGAAAATAGGACCGGTATGCCATCATTGGCGCCTTTCCCCTACAGAAAAAGTATTGTTGCTATTCGTTGCTGTTCGCCATATTGCCCCGTTTTTCTCTTTTAAATGGTTGACAATAAGTATTATTAAAATGCATTATCAAATAAAAGCAACAAGTAAGTAACATAAACATACATACCATCTTCTTTAAAATGTGTATCTACAAAATAATATAAAATTCAAAATTAAAGTAACTTTTTTTTAATGAGTTTTTTATAATTATCAACAACCGCCAGGTTTCGTAACAATTTTATATTTTTACTACCTTGAATACTTGCCACGAACAAAAGTGTCATAAGAAACAAACTCATCCACATGGTTCTAAACAACCACGGAGACAAAGTTAAATGTTTTTCAATTTAATTTAAAAAATAGTTTTCAAAATAATAAACTAATAAAAACAAATTAACAAAAAACTAAACAAAAAAAGAAAAAAAAAGAAAAATTAGGATTATACCTCATTTTTGCACTTGCGTTGTTTTTTCCTTTCGTCTTCAAAGTGTTTTAAATTAGTTCAAACTATTGAAGTCAATTTATACAGAAAATTGAAATGTTGACGTCATAAAAATTAGTTTCAAATAAAAGTAGCGCGACAAAATATATATTGATTATCAAAGCAAACAGTTAACTTGTTGTTATCTAAAATTTACTCACGATTGGGCACATTAGGAAACAAAAACTTCATTATGTTCAGTGGCCTATGCTAATACCATGTTTACACTAGCGGGAACAAATGTTCCTGGTACAAAATGTTTTATAAAATGTTCCTTGTAGCCATAGTCACAAAAAATGTTTATTCTTAAGACTGAGTTGTAAAGTTCACGCGTGAAATAAGTTTGACGGTACTAAAAACAAATTGCTAACAAACGTTAGCTTTTGTAAATAGAATAAAACCGTTAGGATTTAGCGATAGGCTCTAAAACATAATAAAACTTTTCTTGAATAAAAATTAACGCCACGCCGTTTTGCATATAATTTTTTTTTTTACTAATTGTATTCGAGAGGTAAAATTAAATGCCCATAACGTAGGTACGTGTCTAAAAATTTTAGTTATTTCTATTATTGATTAATATAAATCATTGGAAAAAGGCTGAAATCAGCATTACTAAAGTGAAATTTTAATTACAAAATAACAGTTCTGCAAAATGTTATGCTTTTTTAAGTAACAAAACTTGATTACAAGGATCGCCTAATAAAACAACAATCAATTTTAAAACGTCAGATTCGGCTAACGGTAGTTTTGTTTTGGAACTTTGAATTATTTTGCAATATTTTGTTTTTTTTTACGTTATTTTAACTTAGGTAAATATTCTGCTAAATTAGGTGTCTGCAACAAAAAAAATAGGTGTATGCAACATAATCTATTTCAATAAAGTTAAGCATGAACGCAAAAAAATAAGTTTTAAAACATTTCTTAATAGTTTCAAAAATGTTCTCAACATTCCTTCAATATAAACTTGATGTCTGTCAACAAAGAAGTTTTAAGAAAATTTAGTTCAACAAGAGTGGTTGTACTACAAAAAAAGTATATATATATAAAAGTGAAGTTTAACTCCTCTACTTTTTTAAAAATGTCTATGATGATATA